GCTAGATCGCCGAGGTTAAATCTTTCTCTGCCAATTGCGTGACAGCCGCCGCCCTCAAGAAAATCTGCCTGTCTCCTCGCTAGGCAATTTCCCCCTTCTTCGACCTTCGCAAAGATTCAGCCAGGGCAAGATTCAAAATTGCAGTCTTCTGCTCCGTAAGCAGGCGTGTTATCCATTACGCCACGCGGCCACCGTGTTGCTTTTTTGTGATCTTAATATGTGTCGGGGTGATAATACTATTGAGCTCTCACAGCAACGACTAACTTAAGAAAAAACTAAATGGACAAATTATTCGGCATTATCCTTTCAGATAGGCCAGACATTCCACTTCTGTTTAGAATTGTACATTGCTGGGGAATTTGGAATGATTTGGCCTAAACAGTTACTTCTAGGAAGCGGCGATAACCTGGCCATTGATTTCATGCCAAGGCTGCTACAAAGTAGTCGATAGAAGGCGTAATCGGCTTGGCTGAAGTTCTGCCTTGTATTTGACTCTGATACGGTGCGTGTGATAGAGGGGCTGTTTACAGCTACCCGTCGCTGCTTGGTCGTTCCAAGAAAGCAATACATTATCAACTACACTGGTGTGCAAAACTTAGGGACAGTAGATGAAGTAATATAACTTATTGATTGCTTTGGGAACCGAGAAACGGTCCTGTCAACTTCTTCCGTAGTATGTTATAGCCGCTTTATATGTGTCGCTAGGTGCCATAGACTTATGTTTCTCGCCAGTAATGCATGTCATGGAAAAGCACGTTCGTCCCTAAGTTTTGCACACCAGTGTTTTATTGACATACTTAGGTTCACTGCTCATTCAACACTAAAATTTCGGACAAAGGCTTATAGTGAGATTTTAGCTATTTTATCTTGGGAAAATGCTCCAGTTAGAAGTGGGGCGCGTCACATATACACTGACTGCTCAGAACCAGTGATGCCTTTGTTAGTCTCCTGAAACTGTCTGGTTTTGGAAGATTGCGACTACTCTCTAAGTGATCGTTTCACTTGACTTTGCCGTCTTCTCTTTCGGTTGGCCACTACGAGTCTTTGTTCTTATTCTTCCGTATTTGTTACACTTTGTAACGATCCACTTTTTTGAAAGGTTGATAGCACGTACTCCGGATATAATTCATTTATGGATGGGATGAAGGCTGCTTTGCGCGCCCTTTAGGCCGTGTCCCGAGCAGGGTCAACCCTATCGTTGTTACTCTTCGGAAATTTGATACGACCCCCCCCCCTTGTATGTAACACTTGTGTAGAGGCAGTGTTGCCATCAATATTTATTGCTACGTAAGTCCCTTAGCCTCCTGACGGTGGAGCGCATTTGCTCACGGTGAAGAGGCGTCGAACGGGGAGTGTGAAAATTCGAGTTTTTCTTTTTACATTTCAGGTAGTTCGGAAGATTCAGGTGGATTTTGGATCGACGTGGCTCCTCCTTCCTAACGAGTGCTCATTTGTTCTCAAACACTTCGGAATGAATAAGTTATTAGGCAAAAAATAAAATTGCAACACAATTTTTACACTCCTCTTTCTAGGGCTATAACTTCCTTCATATTCGAGCTTCTGCGCCGAAGTGATTTGATTTGGAAAATTCAAATTATTCTCTCTCCAACCATGGGTAAAAATTCTTCGAAAGTTAATTTAATAAAAATTTAGTACGTTGTTACTTTTTTCTGTGCAAAGCGACTTTTTGACCTTCAAACGATCATAACTTCTTTCAAAGTCATTCATTTGGGAAGCTGAACACGTATAATAAACTACAGGATTCAAGCTTTCTAACGAGCACCCAAGCGTTCCTGAAAGATCAGCAGTTCAAAAATTAGTCCCGTTGTTACTTTTTTTTGAGGGGTATTCTTCAAGCCATTTTCTCGAAAACGCGAGTTTTCTTAGGTTTCACTGCCCGTAACTTCTTGGAAGACCAATTTCATGTTTAATTAGGATGTGCTAGAAAGCTCCGAGCATGCGCTTGCACTACATCCCTTGCCTTGGTGCGCGCCACGCCTCGGGCGCCCTTCTAATTCGCTGATTCATTTGAAAGCTCATTTAGAGGGAATCGTGGTTTATAGATGCTGTATCAGTCATCTTACGAAAACGTAACGTGCTGGCTATTATCCGATATTACCAAGAATCCCACTGTCGGCCACCGAGAGGGTACGACCCCCCTCCCTCCAAGCTCAACTGAGTACGACCCCCCGTTGTTACTCGTAACAACGTAGGGTTGACCCTGGTCGAGTCCGTTTTCGGGCACTGGCCATTGGTTGTAAATATTATATGTTTTGGAATAAGCACTATTGGCGTGCGAGGGAAAATTCACTTATAAAGCTATAAAGGGAATGCGTGTCTTTAGAACGCAAGAGTGAATCTGTGGCTGCAATGTCCACATCTATGATGGTTCGAGGAAATACAGTGTTAGGGGTTCCGTTAACGATCGAAAATGAAACACCGTCTCATTTTGAGACGGCTTCGTGAATGGGTAGCCTAGGAAATAAACAAAATAATAGGCCAGCGTCGGCCCAATGATCCAACCTTTGAAGCAGCAGCTCGTGTCTTTTGGGTGGAGGGCCGCTTTCCCAAATTGGACGATTGGGCCGGCATTGATCGGACCATCGAGTTCAATAGATTATAATTGCTGGAAGCCAAGAAGGCGTCACCAGTGCTGACCGTGGAAGACTAGTGACTTAGGGGGAAAGGTCGAGCTCAGCTGACCTAACCAACCTTTTCGGTCATGT